TTTCCATTACTCGAAGAACCCAACCGCGAGTCATTACCCTCAAATGCTAACCCACGAACAGCCAAAAATTTAACAACAGATACTACACGGCGCAACACTTCAACCCAATACTTTTTTTCACTCAACATTTGTTCCGCCATAGTTTTGTCTATACGATTTTTAGTGTTTACACGATCTAACCAAGTTAACATTGATTTACGGTGAATTGCACTATTTTCGTGTTCTTTAACTTTTTCGTGAGATTTTTTCCAGTTGTTAAAACCARGATTAATAAAACTTGAATTATTTGACTTATTAAATAGTTTACAAACAAWACAATAAACGTTGCCAGTGTGTTCAGAAAACATGAKYCATTTACGTAAGTGTATTTCACCATTGGGCAATTTTAATTCGAATAATGATATATTTAATGAGCGATTAAAATTTTTAAATTTTTTTTCGGATGATTGAAATTTTTTTGGATCTATAGGTATTCTGAAAAAATTCTGGTCCTTTTAAGCAGCATAATTCTATAAAAGTGTTGTTTAACACTAATGGCCACATTCCCGGATCTTGATATAATTCAATATCAAGTTCAATAGTATGAACATTCGAATTAAAATTAATTGCAATCACTGCATTTTCTGCTGTAGAACCATTGTCAATATTATTTTCAGAAAAATGTACACTATCAGATTTTGATGTCACTATTGTTTTAGGCATTACACTATTACTATCATTATTCATATTTTCAACATGAATATAACTATTAATTAGAACCAAATCATTTTTATTATTTTTATTAGTTTCTACTCTGTTTGCACTGTTGATAGTTTCAAAAAAATTAGTTAATTTAGGTAACTTGCTTATTGCGTCTTCGGTCTCCTTCTTTAATTTTCGTTTTGCATAACCACTGAGATAAATCCTTTTTTTATCAGACATTTTTAAATTTCAATAGTTTTTGGCACACACTAGTAACGAACAAAACTCACGAACTCGACTAAAAACTAATTTAATAATTTAATATCACGACAGTCGACRGAATACTAGTGTACCGATTGTACTAATAATGCTAAACTGACCATCAAAATGTACCTATGTTAAGATAAATTGTAATCATAACGATATAAAGTGCTTTTGACCAACTTTATCTTAAAACTTAATAGTTTATTTTATTGATTAGAGAATAATAATAAATTCCATTACGATACGTGACTAACGAAACTACGTAACCACTAACCAGTAATATCATACAAGATACAATTATTTCAAAATGCCACTTTAATAATTAAATATCAACAGGGGCCCGGGGCTGCAGCCCTCCTAGCCCCCCCCTAATTTGGGCTCTGGTCCTCCGTCTAGATATATCTATCTCAGTATTGTCCGCTTATTATTTTACAAAAATAAGATAATTATTGTATGCTATCCTTATTAATAACATTAGACAACTAGACAATAATCTTTGTCCCCAATCCATTTACGAAAATATGCATATACAACATCCTTAAAATGTCTCATTGAAATTGCGGTGTGATGTTCCATGTGAAACCCATAGCATACATCGCAGAGATATTAGGCAATATAAAATATTTAGTGCGTACGGTTCCGAAGAACGGGGTTTGTTGTTTAATATTGTTATGATGCCGATTAAAAGCATTACTATTCCTCAAAAAAATATATGAAACCACTAAGTATGAAAACATAGTGAAAAAACTTACTTTATTTACTACGTGGATTACATTTTAAATAGCTTAAAATTTAAACTATCCAACTCCTTTGAAACAGTTATATTTATTTCAATCAACACTTAGGTTAGGTTAGGTTCGATATTATAAATTGGACATACCTTTACAAAATGTTGTTATAAAAAATAACAATTTCGCTTTGCTGATGATATAGTCGTTCTTGCAACATCTGAGGAAGACTTACAAGCAGCATTAAATGAAATGAATATTACATTCAAAGAATATAGTCTAAAAATAAACGCAGCAAAGACCAAAGCTCTAGTATGCTACAAGAAAAACATAACATTAGAAAACAAAGAAATTATCCAAATAAACTACTTTAAATATTTAGACAGCATTATAACAGACGATGGGAACTCATACGAGGAAATATAAAAACAGGATAGGTTAAGCAAAGAATGCATTCCTTAAAAAAAAAAAGAAAAAATACTTACATCAAACAAATATAAGCATAGGTAGTAACAAAGAAACAGCTTTCATGGAAGTGAAACCTGGATAATCAATAAAAAAGATAAAGATATTATGTTAGAAGCTCTGGAGATGTGGTGTTGAAGAAAGATGCAGAGAATAAGCTGGACTGATAGAAGATAAAATGAAGAAATCATGAGGACAATAGGTGAAAAACAAACATTGAGAGACACCATAAAGAAAAGGAGATGGCAGATGATATAACACACGTTAAGGCATTAAGATGAATTGCATAATTCAATAATTGAAGAAATTATMGAAGAAACAAGATGAAGTGCAAGACTTAGGGCGAGATACATTAGCCAAATAATGCAGGATGCAGTTGATGCAGGAGTCGCTTCCTACAGAGACCTAAAAAATATGGCAAATGATAAAGTAAGGTGGAGAAGACATTTAGGTACTGTGAAAAATTTGTGAAACACCAATCTTCGGATAAATACCCTACACTAATCTGGTGGACATTCGGTGAATTTTTTAAACTATGTTATAGGTTAGATTACTATAAAATCAATTTCTTACAAATGCATTGTGAAGTTCTTAATGGTTTTACAATTAAGCAAATTTTTAATTTTAATCATCATAATAATATGAAAAATATTTCATTCATGCATACAAACTTAATTATACAATTCACTTGGATATAATACAATAAAGGGTTGAATTTAAACCAACTTAAATAATAGAATCAATAAAAATTTGTAAATATATTCAATAAATGCAGTGACAAACTATCATATAAAATTTTTTATTTTTGTCCAACACAATATATATTATCATATTATGTATGATTATACATGCGTAACGACTAATATGATTTTAAGTTTTAAACATAACGTTACCTAAGATTTTTGTATTTGTAAAAAACGATATTGATTTTAATATTTTATACACGTCAAGTATACGTAATATAAATATTTTACAATATTTATGATTTTGGTAATTCTACAGATAAATCAGCGATGATGTACGATATAATCGCAAACATTGCAGTGTTAAGGTCTAACGAATCTGGATCCTCAACGGCCATTGTATCGGCTTCTGTATGGTGGTACCAAAAGTATTTTTCATTTCTATTTAACAAACTCAAACCAGGTATATTAATATTTTCAAATACCTCGATATCTGAACCAACGTTGTTTTTGCTGAATTTCATGGAAGTGGCATTGATAGAATCAAACAATCTGAAATTATAAAATCAATAAAAAATAAATCAGTTGATGCATAATCAATAAAATTTTCATTTTAATGCCATTTTATCGTACTGATAAAAAAAATCATTAATATCATATTTACTTGGCCACTTCGGCCATAATGCACGATGATGTTTCAGAACCATGAAACTCAATTCCATACGGTTTAAACGTCCCTTCGTCTGACTCAATGACCAAATTAAAATTTTTTAGTTCTGATTTATGTCCTTTTAAGTACGCATATGCCCCTATATATCCTTCTTCTTCAGCTGTCCACAGTAAACATCTGTATACAAAGAGTTAAGAATCATCAGAATCTATTAAAATATAGTAATATTGTATGTAATAAAAAACCCTATAAAAATCATGGTAATTTATGGGAACGTTTTATAATTATGATTTTATTTTCCAATGATAAAGCAATTAACTTCTAGTACCTACTATTGATACAATTTATTTCACGAATACTCGAATTTGGATAATATTTAGGCTAGGAATAAAGCAAAAAAAAAAAAAAAAAA